CTTATTCCAGAAATTTGATCTCGGACGTATCGCCGTAGAAGAAATGTCTCGAAACGAGATGCACTCGCGTCACTCGGGAATTCCACGATATAGAGGACATTCAACTTTTCGAACCGATATACGAAAACGTGTCCACCGCGTAATGTGGAATCGTGTCTACGACTGACGCGTTTGTTTACATTTTACATCGTACACCGTCCCGTACTTGTATCCGGTCCAATTTACATGTTTCGCCCTCTCGTGTAACCGTTAACGTAGTAGCCGAATAAAGTAAACAAGTAAACTCTACTCTGTAAAAAAAAAAAAAAACACTTTCTACTTTTACTGTTAATATTACATTACGCAAACCCGAATTCTCGTCAATCGTGAGTTCGCGAGATACAAAAATGTGAAACTTTGAATGAAATAAATTATCGCGTTAGAACAAGTTCAAGGGTCGCAATGAAACGCTTCGATTTTCCACCTTATGACTCTCCAAGCCTGATCTACGATGTGTTCTTTGCTTTTTGTTTTCTGCTCTTACCTTTTTGCGACTATGGGCCCGCACACACACTTCTGCACAACGCATAATGCGTAAGCATAAGAAAATTGATTGGTCTATTTCCTTATGCACATGTATATGGACCAATCAATTTTCTTATGCTTACGCATTATGCGTTGTGCAGAAGTGTGTGCTCCCCGCTTATCTCGTATTTCGCAATTCCGTAGCGTAATGCGATGTTTTTTGTTCTCTGTCGCCCAAGATAAAAATTGACGAACTTCAGAAGAGACAAGAAACATCACGTTACGCGACGGAATTGCAAAATACGAGATAGTTGCAAAGAGGTAAGAGCAGAAAACAGGAAGCAAAGAACACATTGTAGATAAGGCTTCTCAATGACGATGACCAACAATAAAATATCCACGATTTATTAGTTTTATAGTCGTATGTTGAAATTATTTAGTTAAATATTTCAATTATATTCAAGTGGATAGAACACTTTGATATTTCAATTAACAATTAATTAATGACGAT